ACTTGGCATTCACGCTTTTTCTCTTGAGATCTCTCAGCCCTGTCAGCTTGCCCAGTCTACAGTTTTCACAGTGTTTTCCACGGTCTCTGCTTCCTGATGGCATTTTTTTCATCTATGCCAGTTCAGCTGCCAGGCCATTGAACAAAGTTCCTCAAAAGTGAGAATTCGTTGCACGCTGTGTTTCCAGCTAAGACAGCAAGAGACTGGTAGAGAGCAAGAGCTGACCTGCAGAGCCTGTGAGCAAATTTAACATGAGCCATTGTGTCTAGGCTCCTTGAAAACAATAAAAACAATAAAATTGTCCATGGGGGCTGCTATGCTGCTGCATACCCTGTCCATGTAGACAGCTGAAGCATGTTTACCCAGATTTGTGCCCTCAGGTCTTGCTTACATGCAGGTTTATCCAGAATTCACATGCTCTGCTGTCTTGAAAGTAAGATGATTTTAAATGATACAGCACTTTAAGAAATAATTGTTAGTATGCTTAATTGCTGCTGCACTTTTTCTTTTAATTTGTATTGATGCTGCAGTTTATTTTTAGAGAGGCTAAATTAGAAAGCTGTTCTGTACTCAGGCTGGCATTGGTAATGATGCAATATTCAACATCATGTCAGGATAATTGTCTAGTATGACAAATGTGGTGAATGAGATACCAGAGAATGCTGAACAACCAGACTTCTGTGAAACCAGGACAGGTAGATAGTTGACTGTGACTCTTTGTATCTGCTTCTGCTTTCGTTCCTTTTCTTTTTGTAAATACAAAGCATACCTTGCTTATTCTAAAACGTGTTCTTAGGAAAAGGAGAGAGAAAAAAAGCACCATTTTCTTTTAACTTGAAAATCTAAAGGAAACACATTCCTCCTGAAAGCCAGCTGGCATTGCTGCCAGAATTCACTGGGTTAACAGAGTCTGCTGCTGTAGAGAAAAGAGGGTCCACATGCTAATGCACTGAGAATTGATCAGATGGCAGCAGACAAAATTGTTTTTCCACACAGACAAGTGGATGTGGCTTCAGCAGAAGGCAGATTTCCAAGCCAGGGAAGTCCAGGGGTCTCCTCAGTACAGTCAGACTGAGCACAAGTGTTGTCTTTCTGTTTCTGCTGATGGTGCATCAGCAGTGAGCTCTGAGCTGTGAGAAGCATAGCTGGGTTCAGTATTCAACACCCTCACTACACTGAGGTATTGGGGTTCCTGATCTTCCAGCAACTCAGGAAGCCAGCTCATAACTGGAACAGTTGCAAGACAGAAGTAAATTGGTTTCACCTCCTGTCTTTGTTTTGGGAGATGGCAGCTCTGTCATGAACTGCAGTGAGAACCTCTGTAAGGGAACAAAGCAGACAAAATGCCCAGCAGAGACCAGTAAGTGTTTGTTTAGTGCTTTGAAATGTCACATTTTATCATCAGTACTAGTGGCTGCTGGATAAGAAATCAAAGGTGTTGCCCACGGGGTTAGCACTTACAAAGCGGATGTGGGCAAGATTACTATGCCATGACTCAAACATCCCACTGTAAGTTTATATAGAAAACTCAAATAACAGATACTATTTTTAATGGAAAACCAAATTTAGTATGTTTGTTCTTTCCCTCCAATAGCAAACATGTGTCACACATACTGTCTGTAGCTGACTCTTCAGATTAATGGAGAACAACTTCTGCCCCTCATCTATAACTAGTTTGCTATAGCTTTTAAATTAATTTTTGCTTTCAATAAGCTGTTAAATATTTACCACCAAAGCTGCTTACCCATTTGGGCATCTTTCCTGCTTGCGGGTCATGATGGTGAAACTGCAGAACCAGCACTGTTACCACCACAGACAGACCAACAATGACCATGATGCTAGCAAAATACTGAGCTGCAAGTAAAAGGAGGACTTGGTTAGGAGGTGAAAAAACAAACAAACGGCAAATAATATTCTTTGGCCATGTCCCAAGATCTACATTTGAGAAGCTCTGCATCACATCCAAACATCCTCTTCTCTGATCTTCCACAGTGGAGCATTTGAGGCCTTTGAGGTTTCCAGTGTATCTGCTCAGCTCTCTCATCTCCAACAAGGGAAGGGCTAGAATCAGTGAAACACATAAATTGCTTGGCTTTTTTTCCCAGAGAGGAATGTAGCCCCCCTGCTAAGGACCTGCTCCCTGCCTGCTGCCAGGACAGCGAGGAGCTGAGCTGACCAGATCCACTGAACACCAGCATCCCCAGCCCTGGGCCACCCTGCAGTACCAGCAGAGATGCTGGAAGGAAATGCTGTCCTCATGGTGTCACTGGACCCCCTCAGGAAGTGTCACCAGACCCCCTCCCTCGCCCCACTACTGCTCACAAGGGGTTAGGCATATTTTTCAGCACTCTTCTCAGCCTTCAAGACCACTTCTTTTGGTTCCTGTGAAAGCACGCTACACCTTTGCTGAGTGCTAAATTTAAGCTTGCCATGCAGGAAAGAAATCATGATCATGAACGCCAGAACTGAGACTTGAAACCGTATCTCCTAAGTGGCAGTACAGCTTCCTCATGCCAGGAGTGAGGTTGATGCACTGGAGTGTAATGAGGGCTAATGACATTTGAAGGCTGCTGTGGCAAAATACCAGGGAGCATTACCGTTGGCTGATATGATGGGGCACATGACGCTGCCCCAGACTGCAGCCTCCTCCCAGCCCTCTCTCCTGCAGGTTGCAGGAAAAGTAAAAAATTCAATACAGCCTCCAAGACAAGTTTTGTTCTGGCTCTGTTTCTTAATACCACTTCCCACTGCCTCAGCAGCAAAAAGCTTGTTCATAATAATGAGGTTTTCAGGCCTTCCTGAAACGAACGCTGCAATTGCTTCAAGAGGCAGGCATGGCTTTCCATGGCAAAATGAATTATGCAGCTGGATTAGAAAAATAGTCCTGAGGGTGAGGTGAATTGGGAGGTTTCTGTTGCACTTATGAGAAAGCAGAGCCAACAGCCAGGCAGAGCAGAGCAGGAACTGAGGTTTCAGGGAAGCTGGCTGATCTGATTCCAGTATGCCCCATGTAACAGAAACACAGCAGTGTTGATATCACTGGTTTAATTACCGCCATAAGTCACTAAACAACTTCCATAAATTCTACACATTTTGTTGTCACCAGACTCCAAGAGCCTGAAGTGGTCCCTTTAAAATGGCTTTGGCTAGGATATTTCACAGATCCTTGGAAAATTAGTCACCTGGTTAAACTTGGAAACAACTTGGTATTATCTGACTCAAGATTCCAGCCAATGATTAGCAGAGGAATTCACACTCTCAGGTTTTTGTGCCGTAAACCCAGGAACAGAGGTCAGGAAACTGCTTTGGAAAATTGCTAGTAAACAGGGAAAACAGTTCTCTCAGGAACAGACTGGGAGCTGTAGGGGAACTGTTGACCCATAAAGAAAGATGTTTTATACTTTTGCCTGATGATAGGCAAGGAAGATGTCTGGGTGTGCATCGCCTGCATTTTGCGGGAGGCCTTCTGTTCAAGGTACAGTGAAGTTTTCAGTTGGAAAGTAAGGATGGAGTAAATAGTGCATGGTACTTCAGCCCTATTATCAGTGTCAGGCAATGAAATGTCACAAGATATCTGTGAAATGAGAACTGGCAGGTAGATTTATGCAGCCCAGGTAGGTGCAGGTTCTCTATTCATTTCAGGGGGAAGAAAGCCCCAAAGCCCTGGAGCAGCCCAGACCTACTCTAGGGCTGGATTTTACCAGCCCTGAAGAATCAACAGTGAAAGGGGAGGAGGGAATTAGCAATGGCTGGCACACCTGTCACGTTAGCCTTTCACATCTCTAGTTGGAGATACGATGAAGACTGTTGCCTCCCTTCCTGTGGCAAGACAAGGTAGACCTAACAGTCATTGTTCACAAAGGAATTGCTAGATCTTCTGCCCATGGGTCTCTGATGGAAAACATGACTCCGTGCTTACAATCCAGACCCTGTATTGGGGCAGAGCCACCCATAGGGATGGCTAAGACCTAGTTGGGCCTGGGTTCAGTGACGGTTCACCTGTAAGGGAAGGAAAGTCCCCAGAACTGAGTGGGTATGTCCACGAGGCAAAATGGTGCTGGCTCTGAAATGGTATCCATACCCACTCAGCATTTCCTGATCTTTCCGTCCTTTAATGCTACATCCTCTTTTTCCCAGCAGCAGAAAAACATGGTCCTCCTGCAGCACTCAGGAGAACTGGTGGGGAAGAATCCTGTGCTGTCTCCCATGCACCTCCCTAAAAGCATGGCTTAATCCTCCTCCAGTCTGCTGGCTTGGCATCTCTGTTCCTGGCGGTCTTTAGCCCTCACACCAGCCACATTAAACCCATTACATGAAAGCTACAAGGGCTGCTGTCCCTTTTCACCTCTAGCACACCCTGTGATATGACCTTGATGCAACCTTCTCCAGCAACCCTGTGAGCAGAGGACCCTACCTGCTGAAAGGATCAAGATACAATGTGCACAGATAACACTTTCCTTGGAGCCACGGGACTGCAGTCTTCACTCACACTACCTTAGCCCCACACAGCCCTGAATTAGCGAACTCTGCTCCTGGGCCTCCACTGATGTTGCTGAACACAGAAATAAGCTGCTCTCCTGTGAGATGTGGCACAGGAGACAAGCAGTGGAGTATGAACTGAGCTTTGATCTCCCAAGTGGCAGCCACAGTCCAGCCACCAGACTTTTTTCGCCAGTATTTTAGGGTCCGTCCTAAAGCCTACAGCACTTATGCAGTTAGGGCTTTGAAGCTGCTGCTCCTATAAAGTCCTACCCCTGCACGTGTCTGTTGGCAGTGGTAAATGCAAATCTAATTTTAGAAAGAAGCTCAGCCCCTTTCATTTAAACTGCAGAAGGGAAATGTTCAGCAACTATCACTAAGCATCTCTCTGTATCCTACTTATGAGCTCCTGGTTACTAGAGCATCCCTGGTATAGATGGGTCAGCTTGGAGGCTTTAACAAATTACTTCACCATGGGCAGTGTCAGGAACAGCAATCCCAGACAGGAGTGCATTTGAAAGAGCAGGGGCCTGGTTGCTGTATGTCAGCTGCTCTGAGGCACAGCTGGGAAGTGACTGACCCCTTCTGGAGGGGAACTGGTTCATTTGTACTCTCTGTCCTGGTCAGCTGCCACAGGCCAGGAAAAGGGACCAGAAGACCTGTGTTTGGAGCCCCTCAATATCCCTGACTTACACAGCGACATTCCCCAGGGATACCGAGGTCTGCACTGATCACCGCTAGATGCTCTTCATGTGTTTTCAAACCTGCATGCTGTTTTCTTCAGCAGTTTTGTGTGAATGGAAAAGTGGAAAAGCTGTTTTGGATGCTCGGTTGATCTCTTTCAAGTAATATGAAGCATTTGTGTTTCTACAATTGATTTCCTTCCCTTTCTTTGCCGAAGGAGGCATGGTGTAACATGCTACCTGGACTGCTGTTTTAACATCTGGGAGTTGTCAGCCTCCATCTCAGAATTGTCAGAAGGTGATCAGGTGCTGTTGTTATAGCAAATATGGATCTAATACAGCCACAGATATTCAGAAAGCCTTTTTAAAAAATCAGTGACAACAGCTATTTGTTCTTGCAGGCATCCTCTGACATCACCTATATCAAAAGGATGGCAATGACTTGAAATTCATAACTTGAGTGACTTCCAGTACCATTTTTGGACCTTCTGTCCCATTATCTGATGTTAGAGAAGCACCTTAGGATTATTTTAGAGATGTTTTGGAAGATCTGCTGCTTGAGAGGAATTAGATTAACTTTAAGGACTGATTAGGAGCAGAAACAGAAACAGAAAACCTAAACAAAACAGAAACCCTAGGAGGAGCAAGATGATTCCAGATGGATGCTTTGCCTTGTTGATTTTATCACTGATCACGGACTGAGAAAGCAGTATATTATCCAGATTTGTTAAGATAGTTAATCATAGGATAGACAGAGCTTCTCCATTGTGACCAGTTACAGTCTTGCTGTTCCTATGAAATAGTGGGGGAAGGAGGAGAGTGCCATGCTCAAGTGTACACAGTGATCAAGTCAGATACTTCCCACTGGTGCTGCTGTTTGTATTCCTTCTTTGCAGCAAAAGTCAGGTTTTGTATATGAAATGATGGACTGGTTTAGAGCTGCTCTAAGTCAGGTCATTTCAGTCATTCAGTGCTGAGTGCTTCTGGTGAACTCTCAGAAAATGGAAGAAATGTCCCAGAGTATGCACCGAATGAGATATTCACTGCTCTTCCTTCTGGAAATGGTCCAGTTTAATGAACTGAAGCCTGTGGAGGATGCAGGAAACTTGAAACACTAGCAGAGGGGCTTCCAACGACCCTTCTTCTCTTCTATGGCAGGGACCAGGGCTGGTGCTGGGCAGATGCTGTTGCAGTCTACAACAGGTGATGGCAGAGTTTCTCAGAGACCAGGGAAACCAAAAGGTAGAGGAGAGATTCCCTTGCTGGCTGATTTACTGTTGTACACAGACAGCAAAGAAACATAGAAGAGGACATAGGCAGGAAAACCATTTCCACCGTTGTCGAGATTTGCTGTAGCTGGGACACCTTGTGCTGTCCATTAGCTCTCACTGACAGTAGGAAGTGAAGAGCATCATCTCAGTCCAGCTGATCCCTCATAAACATGAAATGTCTTAAAAGAGTGAGAGGCTTCGGGATTGGACCCTGTGTCTACCTTTTGGTTACGGTACTTGTAGAGGGCACAGGGGCAGTGTTTTCACAGTGTTTTCAAACTCTTCTCCTCCCACATGCTTTTGAAGTATAGAACTGGGTGTTTGAAAGTAAAACTGTTTGGGTTTTTTTTTAATAAAGAAAAAGCGTCCAAGACTCATGGCTTTGGGAAAAGCACCATTGATCACAGGGCATGAAACTGTA